ACAATGACCTAAAATACTAGCATTATAAACTATCTTTACATCTCCATTGACTCAGAGGACACAACAGCTATTCTATTTCCTGTTCCAGTTCACACCAAGGCAGAAAAACCGGCATCAGGTGAAATAAAAGAAATTAGCCAAACCTTGACATGCACTCCAAGAAAAACAAGACAGATAAAGAACAAACACTCCTCACTTCCTTCATTCCACTAGCATTCACATTAACAAAAACACATTCAGCAACCTGCTCTTGTCCCTGTCACGTCTATTAGCTCAGATCTACCTCATTCACAACTACCTGTTAAAATAAAGAAAGAAAGGAGCAAACGTAGAAACTCAAATAGCCATGTTCAAAAGTCTTAAATATAAAAGAACTCATGCCAACAAAATGCAAAATGATTAAAGTCCTTGTGTCTAAAGAGGTTACCTTAATCTTAAATCTGTATTTTACTTTTGGATACCCAAGTTCATTTAATACTTAAAAGCAATACAATACAAATAAATACAATTTTATTTAGTTGAGAAATGTCAACAAATAATTATGCAACAGTTAAGATGGGTTTCACATTTTGGGGTTAGATACTAAAGGCAAAAAGTAAAAGTAAAGAGGGAAATTCAGAACCAGGATGCATTTGGAAGACATTCCAGCCCCTCCCATAATTATAGTCAGACCAGTCATTAAAGCATAAAAAGTTCAGGCTGTCCCTCTAATCACAAAAGGGGCATTAGTTGGACATTTGACAGAAACAGCTCTACAGAAAAGGAAAAAATATAGTATTGTATGTCTAGAGGAGCTATGAGCCGATGTCTGGGAATGTGATGGCTAACCAGCGGAGACCCTACCTGCACCACTTACAGGAAAACAGGGAATGACTGCCATGACATAAAAAGGATTCCAGAGGTACAAAGAGTCATAACCAATTAAACTAATAATAAATAAACACCTAAAAGAAGTAAATCACTAAATGTATTACTTGTGTGTAATCAATCACTAAGACCGTGGCAATGGACCTTGTGATGGTTTTAAGCCAGAGACAACAAGCTAATATATACGATTCAGCTGGGAAAACTCCTAATTTATCCAACTAAGTTAGAACCGATGAAAAAGGTCTAGCCTGTACACTTGTTCCAGATATGCTCAAACTATTATTTTCCCTGGAGCATTTTCTGCCCTCATTAGGGAACACAGCATCTGAGAACCCCCAGAGCCTCATTTTAGTCCAAAGTCTCCCAGCACATGACTGACTCAATCACAATGTCAAAACGGTTCCATAAACTTTGACTATAGACTTTTGGATTTTTATTTATTTATTTTTTACCTCTAAGGGAGCATTAAGGCTATTGGGTTTACATCTACAGACATCATTCTCAAAAAATATATATAAACCGGGACCTCAAATACACTTTAATTCCCTGACATGCTTTATAAGGAACAACGCTTAAAAATAATTGACGACAAACCACAACTAAGAATAGTGCTCATACAAAATGAGTTTCCTGAGGTCAGTTGTTAACTGATGTCCTTTAAGCAACAATGGTCAATGGTACAAGAAAAATAAATTATTTGCTGCCCTTAGAAATATAGACAACACGGCAGATTTTTAACTCGAGATGCAAGCGTTTAGATAACATATTAATCTAGCTAAGAATTGCCAACAAAGACCTTCAAAGATCATTAGCTTTTTCCTAAAAAGCGACCTTTAGACTGGCTGGCACATGGCTTTTAGTAGTTAACCACTAATCAGCAGCCTTAAAAGAACAGTTCTTCTAAAATTAAAGCGATAGTTCAGCCAAAAATGTCATCAAATTATCATTTTGATTTGACTTGACATTGACTTGTTCCAAAGTCCAAACCAGATAGTTTTTCTTGTTTGTTCTGTTCACAAAAACAAAATCAGAATGCTTAAAAGCTGTAACCAGCGTGCAAACATAACGTCAAAACATATGTATGGGGGTCTGCCCTTTAATAGTTAACAAATAGTTTGCTCTAACAGGGTCTCTGCCGGTTTTAAGACTTTTAAGACCTCTTTTAGACCACAAAGAATTAAACTTCAGACTTATTTAGGGCTAAATGCTAAAGATCTTTTAATGGCCCAGCAAAAAAAGAAATGTACTTGCCCTATCAAAAAACTAATTTTAATTTCTAAGCCACAAATTTTAAATAATGTGTCAAAACAAGCAGACCCTAGTTGTATACATAAATATTTTTCAACATAACTTTAAAAAAACTCTTTAAACTCCTTTAACTTAAAAAAAAAACACTCTTTAAAATATAAATGCAAGGACAACAGCCTGTTATAAACAAAACTGCCTATTATAACTATATACAGTTGAAGTCAGAATTATTAGCCCCCTTTTTTTATTTTAATTTTATATATATATATATATATATATATATATATATATATATATATATATATATATATATATATATATATATATATATATCCCAAATTGTTTAACAGAGCAAGGAAATTTTCACAGTATCTGATCATATTTTTTTTTTTCTTCAAGAGAAAGTGTTTTGTTTTGTTTCAGCTAGATTAAAAGCAGTTTTTAATTTTTTAAAACCCATTTTAAGGTCTTAATTATTAGCTCCTTTAAGCTATTTTTTATTTCAATAGTCTACAGAACAAACCATCGTTATACAATAACTTGCCTAATTACCCTAACCTACCTAGTTAACCTAATTAACCTAGTTAAGCCTTTAAATGTCACTTTAAGCTGTATAGAAGTGCCTTGAAATATACAGTATATAGTAAAATATTATTTACTGTCATCATGGCAAAGATAAAATAAATCAGTTATAAGAAATGAGTTATTAAAACTATTATGTTCTGAAATGTGTTTAAAAAATCTTCTCTCCGTTAAACAGAAATTAGGAGGGAAAAATAAACAGGGGGGCTAATAATTCAGGGGGCTAATAATTCTGACTTCAACTGTAAATAGTTTTGCTAAAACTTATTGATGTATTGTTGGCATTTTGATGCCTGTTGGAACGATTGGGTAGCTTTATAAACAAGGGAAAATGAAGACCCGTTTAAAATTATTTAAGACATACAAGATAATTTTTCAGTGAATTTAATACTACTTAAGGCCTAACATTTTGTTTTTGAAATTTAAGACATTTAAGACCCTGCAGATACCCTGTCTGATCTGTATCTTAAATAAATTCTACTAATTAAAAATAGATAATGTAAATATACATTTGAACACCCCTATAATGGGGCTAAAAATATGAATTTAGCGGTTTGAAACCGGCAACTCTAGAGCACCAACAGACAGTGTAAGTGTTCACTAAACATGTTTCTTGTAAAATAGACGTTTGTACAGTAGGTGTTCATAAAACTTGATGCATGGTGTGTATTTTATTAACGCTTGCTTGCATGGAAATTAAATAGTAAAATAAAAAATATGTGCAGTCTTTCATGGTCATCCATTAATAGGAGCAGGAAAGCAAACCAGTCACTGTTTATTTAATATCACAAATGTCATTGAGAACCACTCAATATGCCTTAAACACTGAAAACAGAAGTTTGATTAATAAGTTAGATGAAATTGAAATAATAGATAACTTTGGTTCACTCAAGCATATTACTGAACATTATGAAAACTTCACCTACCCACCGATCGTTTATGTATAATTCGCACCTTTGCCTATAACCACTGACTTCCAATGTATTTGTTTTTCCTATGTTTGTCAATGGTTTACAACATTCTTTAAATGATCTTCTTTTGTGTTCAACAGAACAAAAAAACTGCTGGTTTGGGCCATAAAGTCAAGTGTATAAGTAAATAATTTTCATTCAGACTTTTTCATTTTTGGATGAACTATCCCACTTGTTTGTTTACTCACTCTCAGGTTATCCAATTTTGCGTTCGGTTTGTTGTGCAGACCAATGGTTTTACTTTAAAATAACTTATGGGCAACAATTATTAATTCTGTTTGGCTAGATGTGTTTTTTGTTTTGTGTTTTACTCAGTCTCAAAGTGTCAGTGGTCAGTGACCTGCACTGTATGAATCACCAAATACCACCTTTCAGCTATGAATATTTTTACTTTTATTGTGTAGAAAATAAAAACATCACCAACGCTTTGTATGGCTAAAGTACATTTTAAGCAATTCTTCATTTGTTGGTGAACTATTACTTTTAGGAGAGCTAGGAAACAAGAGATAACAAATCCTTTCATTGCCCCATTTACACATTATGATTTCAATGTTTATATTTACACAAACATTTCTCTTGTGTATTTACATAATCAGGACATCTAAGCATAGAGATGAAGTTGGTTTTATATTCACACATTCGTTCATTAAAAACGAATATATTTACCATGTTATTTTGAATATTCGATCGGACTTAGCATGCAAGTAGGACTTGAAAACAACATCAACACTGTTTATTTGACTGTGAACAATGTTGTACTTTGATAATCATTGGCTGCTAATATGATTTCACTGTTTGGAGTTTGCAAATAATACTTTTAAGAAATGATATTACTAAGGGGAAAGTTTGAATGTGTGAATATAAAACCAACTTTACCTCTATCATCTAAGCTGAGGGTTTTAGAATTGAACACCTGCTTTGTGTAGAAGTCAAAGACAAAATGCAGATTGCTGTCATCTCAATGCAATAGTCTGCGTATTTTCTCAGAAAGAAAAGCTAAAAATAATTCATCTTTGTCTCACTTGCTTATCTGAAATCATTTCACATGGTTGAGCTTCGAGTAACTGAAACAGTTCAGTGGCTGAAAACATAAAATGTAAAGACTAGCTGGTTTAGGCAGCCTCAGACAGCTAGAACATCCAGCTTCAAAATCTAACCTACAGACAAGACTAGAAGACAAACCACCTGAAGACTTTGTTTTTTATGCTTTTTCTAACTTGGTAAGTATTTAAGAATAGTTGGCAACACCAGTAACATCACTTGAACACATTTTATCTTGGCTAATTCCAACCAGTCTGGTTCAGTTTAAATAGAGTAGATGTTAAGACCCACTGAAAGCATGAGTTGTGCCAGGCGTCTTGAAGAACCTTCACATGAAAAGCGTCCTGAATCCTCCCGCCACAGCCCGTGCACGCGCGCTCCGTCACATCTGTCAATCAAACATCAGAGCAACATTCAGAGTTGATGCCTCATACACAGAACATGCTTTATTTATAGAAAAACCGCACATATTACTTTCAATTCCAGGTAGTACATTCGGTGTTTTAAAACACTAACTTAAGTTTTGCATTATGTAATTTCGCATTGTTGATCCATTTAAGTGACTGCTGTATCTTGTTTTATTTTTTCAACATTTTACCATTATTAATACATATAAATACACCAGATCGATTACTATCATCATCATTACTTCTACTACGACAAAACAGGTTAAAACTGGAACCCATATTAGCTAACGTTATCAGTTTACAATCGAGAACAAAAACAACATACAAAATGGTTCTACACGATTACTAAGACAAATCTTTAATGCTTAGAAACGACGCGATGTATATTTTTATTAATTCTTCTGACATCTATTCTAACATTGTTTATCAACAAACGTCAACAACACACGAAAAACACGCGATCGCACCACCAAATTCCTACACGTTGCGTCGGATCTGTGACAAACCCAACAGAAAGAGTCAAAGAGCAAGCTATAAAAGAAGGTCAAGCGAGTATTTTCTGTGCACAAAAACAAAGCTTGTTCACGGAATCCTCACCTTCTCGTTCATCCATGTCCTCCCCGATCTGATTTAATTATATTTGTTCAAGCTCACATGCTGGTCCTGAAAAGCCTGACGTTCACACGGTGCACATCAACGATGCTCCGTTTCTGATCCATGTGTAAGAACCGCAGCCTAAATCCAGCTCTGATTTAACGGAGAAACAGGGTTTCGTCAATTTTCCAGGCAAGTTCAAAGTTTCTGGCTCTCTCTCTCTCTCTTGTCCGACCAAATGACGTCATGAGATAGAAATGTACGGAGACCGGAAGGGATCAAACAGAATCACCTGAAACAGGAGCGTTTACAACCAGACTGCGCGACAAAACCGGTTCCCGTCCAGTGATACCGCAGCGACACCTATCGCCGATAGAGCGAAACTTGTGCAGCGATTTTCTTTGTTTCATCATGTGGTCAAGCTTATTGTTAGTGCATTGTTCATAGCACAAACACAAAAGCACTGATCTCTCTCTCTCTCTCTCTCTCTCTCTCTCTCTCTCTCTCTCTCTCTCTCTCTCTCTCTCTCTCTCTCTCTCTCAATTGAATGCAATACTTGCTTTATTGGCATGACAAATGTTACAAATGTATTGCCAAAGCATTTATAAACTTTACATAAAAAGGTAACATACACTAAAAATCACAGTAAACAGAGTAGGGTAGAGCAGGGCACAAAGTCACACTTTTTGGTTTTGGTCAAATAATGAACAAAGTAAAAGGGTTAGACAAACCATTTTTTTTAACCCGCAACACATAAGCCTCTTCTACAAATGAGCACTGGTTGTATGGTCGCCGGACCTGTGGTTTCTGTGCAATATTGCCAAAAGTGCCAGGAGTAAAAATGTTACTATTTAGTTAGTTGTTGTTGTAGCACATGCATTTAAAGGCAAATTTCACACAATTAATTTTAATTCAGTTTACTTTAAATAGTAGCTATATTTCCTCAGTAAATTGCTCATTTCTTTTTCATCCTGAATAGCACATTTATTTATTTATTTATTTGTTTATCCGATAAATAAATTTGAATCTATTTGCAATATTATCCATTTATCCATTATGATGCTGTGAATTTATTTGCATTATTAACAATAACATATTTTTTCTTAAATATTTTCTATTAAAAGCATTTTTATTTAAAAAGTTCTCAATATTTCACTCAAAATTCAAAAAAAAAATATTTAGTTTAATTGGTGTCCAACAGTGTGTGGCTTAATTGTAACACCCTGTTACAACAAACCCCACTGTGTCATGTTTTCCTCAAAACTGGCTAGCAGTCACTGTGTGTTTTTTACATCTTTCAAAACAATAATATAAGATTTTACACATATACTTTCACAGATTTTTTTAAAATAAAAAAATAACTTTATAAATAACTTAAATAAAAATTACTTTGTGCCCATGCAGCGCTCCCCTGAATAGTAGCAGTAGCGAAAAATAAATAAATAAAAAAACAATATTATATTTATTTATAATAATTAAAAATATATAAATAATATACCATATTATTCAATAAATCATATTATTATTCAACAAATAATATTATTTATACAAATCAATAAAAAGAAATAATAGATCAGAAAAAAAACTGTACATTTAACAATCAAAATTTTTGGATAAAACAGTAACAAAAAATAAAAATAATTTGTACAATGATTCTATTATAATAATCTAGATGTGTATGTGTGTGTGTGAGTGGTGTATGCATGCGTGTGTGTGTGTGTGTGTGTGTGTGTGTGTGTGTGCGTGTGCGTGTGCGTGTGTTTGCAAGTGCATTACTGATGTTTTTATTAGTCTCCTCTCTCTTTTTGTGACAGACATTAACGTATTATGCCATTAGAAGGAAAGAATCGGCTCCCTACCATCCCCATATATAAATAAATAAACATATGCTGAATTACTTGGCGGTTCATTCTGCTGTGGTGACCCCTGATGAATAAAGGGACCAACCTAAAGGGAAATGAATGAATATACATCCTTTTCCATTCCAATATGACAAAGTTCCTTGTTCAAAAAGACTTTAAGCGAAATTTTAGTGCTGGGCAAAATATAATCCTGTTTAATCACATTTAAAATAAAAGTTTATACATATATACACAGAATATAAATACACTGTGGCCCAGTGGTTAGCACTGTCGCCTCACAGCAAGAAGGTTGCTGGTTTGACTGTTTGAGTCCCGGCTGGGACAGTTGGTATTTCTGTGTAAAATATTTGCATGTTTTCGTGGGTTTCCTCTGGTTTCCCCCACAGTGCAAAGACAAGCGGTATTGAATAAGTGGTATTGAATGAGTGTATATGGGTTTTTCCCAGTAAGGGCATCTGCTGCAGAAAACATATGCCAGAGGCGGTTTATTCTGCTGTGACCCCTGATCAGGGACTGAGCCAAAGGAAAATGAATGAATATTTAGACATAAAATATATTTAACAAATTCTATAATATTTTCCTGTATTTTGTTTTAAACAAAGCACTTCTTACATTCTTTAAGATGAATCGCATGTTGTATTTCTCATTTATATGTTGCAATGGATTAAACTGTGGGAACTGGTGGGACCTAAAACTATTAGTTTTGTGTGTGGGCACTGGTTCGAGCCCCGGCTAGGTCAGTTGGCGTTTCTGTGTGGAGTTTGCATGTTCTCCCCGTGTTTGCGTGGGTTTCCTCCGAGTGCTCCGGTTTCCCCCACAGTCCAAAGACATGCGGTACAGGTGAATTGAGTAAGCTAAATTGGCCGTAGTGTATGTGTGTGTGTGAATGAGTGTGTATGTATGGGTGTTTCCCAGTGATGGGTTGCAGCTGGAAGGGCATCCGCTGCATAAAACATATGATGGTCAAGTTGGTGGTTCATTCCGCTGTGGCGACCACAGATTAATAAAGGGTCGAAGAGAATATAAATGAATAATATCACGTTTAAACACATTAAATGAAAGAAAAAAACAACTAAAAGTATTATAATAAATTTGTAAATCTGTAAGATTCGAATAAATGATGCAAAATTTGATATAAATAAATAAATAAATAAATTCAAATTAGATTAAAATGAAAAATATTTTTTTTAGCTGTAATTTAAAAAATAAACAAAATATGACACAAATTCTATATGTTTACTATCTATGTAATAAAATTGTTTTGTATAGTTTTGTTTATATACTGTGTGTGTGTGTGTTTGTGTATGTTTGTGTGTACGTAATAATATACATAATAAATATATATATAATACACACACATATGTCAAAACAAAGTTAAATTTGAATGCAATTAATCACGATTACTCTTTGCCCAGCACTACTAAATAAATAGTTCTAAATGGCTGGTGTGGACTTGTGCTGGCAAGTCATGTTCTTTCACAACATGTTATGTAGTTTTAAGGTATGTGTAGTGTTAAAACCTATTTAATGGATTTACAGTAATACCTGATCCTGCTGGTTAGAAAAGGCTGTCCACATATTTTTTCCCACATGCATATTTTGCAGATTGTAGCAGTGAGGGTAATCTTTTCACCTAATGCAAACTAGTTGTGGGAACATGCAAACACACTCATACACAACAGCCAATTGAGTTAATCCAATTCACTTATACTGCATGTCTTTGGACTGTGGGAGAAACCGGAGCACCCAGAGGAAACCCAAGCGAATGTAACCCTGCCGGTCCTACACCACCCAACCCGCTCCGAGCTGGGATCGAACTGGCAACCCTCTCCAAGGGAGTCTGTTGCTCTTAAATGGAGGCTAAAGGCCATGGCCTCTAGCGTCTGTCGCTAGAGCACCTTTAGAGGTCAGAGGAGTGAGGTTTACCTACACAGCACTTACTAGCTGGCCTCCGTTACACTCACCCCCCTAAACCTTACTCCCATCCGGGTCACAGCACCAATGTAACCCCGCCGGTCCGACACCACCCAACCCGCTCCGAGTTGTGATTGAACCGGCAACCTTCCTCATAGGAGTCGGTTGCTCTAACAAGGAGGCTAAAGACCATGGCCTCTAGCATCTGTCGCTAGAGCAGGTTTTTATAGGTCAGAGGAGTGAGGTTTACCTGCACAGCACTACTAGCTGGCCTCCGTTACACAAACACAGGAAGAATATGGCTCAACTGGCCAAACCGGGACTCAAAGTTGTGCAAATACATTTGATCACACCTTTGACATTACTTGCCTTTCATCCTAAATAAATAGCTTCTCAAATCCACCCAACAATCTTCAAACCAAATTGATTTTTTTTTGCATCTGCCATCGCAATATCACATAGCTACTCAGTCACTTTATTTGAAATTAAAGTTTTGGTTATGGAATCTAGTTAAATATGTGGAAAGTCTGCTGATTTTATGCATTTAAAATGAAAGTTAATAGTGAAGTTTTTTACTTTTATTGATTTGTTGGTATCCTATATTCTAGTCAGAGCTCAGAGAAGCATCCAGCTGAGCAGTATAGGGCGCTCATGTGTTAATAAATCCACGGCGGAAATTTAGATAAATAATTTTTTCAAGTGATTGGATGGATCACATTAATGATGGAGGTCTCTACCACACCTTTTTACATTGTTCAACTTAGGATCTGAGAAGCATAATTCTAGTCGTCTCATATTACACACCGAACCCTTTCCAGCGTATTTGACTAGATGTAAAAAATGTAAATCTAAACAATGTGTCTGAAAGGTCAGGACATGAGGCTTTTCTAGTTTGCCTCCTTCTGCTCTCAGACGGAATGTCAGAATGAGACTGGTGAAATGGTGACTGTGATTTTTCATATGTTCACACATGAAAGAGTTTGGAAACAGGACAAAGGATGCTTTCTCAGGGCTTTGGTGCTGTAGGATCATAGCAGGAAAGAATACAGATCATTTTTCCCTCTGCACTTTAAAACCAAGACAAAGGAGTTGACATGACTGTTTGAGTAATGAAAGACAAATGTCCATATACATTAAAAGGGGATGGAGTCCTTCAGATGTGCTACATGTTGTGGCCAGTTGAACACGTGGATACTAACATACACGTGTGTACGGTGGGTACATTAATTTAGGATGCTTTCAGTTAGGTCCCATAGGTTCAAAATAAAATCACAATCTGCACATAAGTAGGGGAACTGCATAGGTCCTTTTCAGAATTTTGTGTATGTTTTAACTCTTAACAGCTAGATACATTTCAAATGAGCAATAATTGCTGTTCTAAAAGGAAACAATGCAGTAACTTAGAAATCATTATGCTTTCT